TTACCGGACAGTCATTGCAATAAACGACAGTTTCTGCTGTTGTCTTGCGTTCAGAGGCGCAAGAATTCCAGTGAATTCGATGAGGAATCAGATTCTGGCAATAAGTAGGTATCACTTGAGGTCTCTTTCAATAATTACAATATTCACAGTATATAAGTGAAGCCATAATATGATAGGACCCTTCATAATAACAGTGTATCATAAATTTACAGTGTGTACGTACATATTGAATGGGCCCTGAGTGAATTTTTAACAATATTTTGTGATATTTATCTATGGTTTCTATGGTTTAGATACTTAGAGAATTCAAAAGCGGATCCATTAAGAGGTGGTGTGGATGACGAGGACAGCAGTGATGGGGGTTTCAAACAGCGGATCCAAACCTCGCATCCCATCACCAAAACTGTTAAGCAAATCGAGAAGACCTACACAACGAGTGGTTTTCCCGCTAATGACATACAGACGCGTCAATCGTGGAAATATCATCAAAAGCCGCCGGCGCTCAATAGGACGGGCAGTAGCTTTGACAGCAGTGACCACACATATGAGCCACAAATGATGGCATTGCCTTTGAAAAGGCCGACTCGGCTCTACTTTATTGATAATATGGTACCAGAAATGCTATGTTTTATTCATATATGGGTTTTATATCCCGCACTATATTATAGTTTTATATTTATGATTGTATAGCATCGCCTTTGAAAAGGCCGACTCGGCTCTACTTTATTGATAATATGGTACCAGAAATGCTATGTTTTATTCATATATGAGTTTTATATCCCGCACTATATTATAGTTTTATATTTATGATTGTATTTATTATTTGGGATTTCACTCTAAGAAATGACACAATTTTATGGTTTTGCTCGTAACACACAAAAAAATTTTCCCTTAATTCAGGAAAAATAAATTATTAAAATAGTGAAAAACTTTTGCGTGCACAATATAACCCCAACCATAGCTTTAAACATTTGATAAAACTTTCATATTTAAATGTATGAATAGAATATTCTGTGTGTTTTGTATATACACAGAGTATATATATATATATATATTCTTGAAATAATAAAAACAAATTGTGTTTATTATGTTCAAGAAAACATTATTTCAATTTTTATCGCATAAATATTATTTAGACAATAGTAAATCATAAATTTTTATGCCATACTACTATTTTCACATTATTATTATGACTTATTTAGCATTAAAAATCATTAGTCTTTTTGGCAAATAAATTAATTCTCATTTTATGTTTTTACGACATAAAGCAAACATTATGTTACATACAAAATGTTTTTTATTTAATTTTATGCAAATTATGTCTTTTGCATAAATAGTCACCCATTTGTTGGCAAATGAGAAAAATCTCTTATTTTCGTGAAAATAGTGGTTTCGGTCGAGAAATAACTAATCCATTCATTAATGTTTGTTCAGCTTTTTCTGCACGTATTATATATTTATTTATTTTCGTATTACTTTTTTATCACATATTCACAGAATCTACAGAATATTCTACAACAAATTAATATTTAATTCAATTCTCGCTATTATAATCTGGGTATTTGCGTGTAAATCTTATTATACACGCAATGTATATATGTATAGTAATTTTGACAACACTTTGATTAAGGCATTCAAAAGGGGATTATGTGCGAAATGAGGGCCGGGAAGGGCTGGTACTCTACACAAACAAATAGCTAACAAACTATTCCTGATTACAGGAAACGTCTGAATTGAACGCACAGACAGAGACGAGTCACAGCGTGGACGAGCTTAATGACAACGGATGGAAAGGGATGTCGTGTCAGTCTATGTCCAAAACTCCGGACAATGTGGACGATAATAGCCGGAACAAAAAGCACGTCACCTTTGCCACCACCCATTTGGTGCGATCGGCCACTGTTGGCGGCATTAATAACATCCATATATCCAGTGGCGGACCCTCACAACAGCCTCGCATAGGCGAGAGATTGGTAAATGAGCAAGTACAGTATACGAGTCCAATAATCATCCGACTGTGTTCCTCCTTACAATATTCACACGCCTGTCCACTCACGACATACCTATACTAATGTCGTGAAATATATAAATGCATTGATTTTATACACAAAATATAACTATTTGTGTGTCTATTGGGAACTACAGGTCAACGGCTCACTACTCATGCGAAAGACCGATTCAATCGATTCCTTCGATCAGAGGTCGACCGCATCGACCGCCCGACTGGTGACTGACTTCCTGCCCCTCTATCGGGCGGCTATGCGTAGGGCTGTCATGAAAACCCAGGCCACACAGACTGACACTACCAGTGCCGCCAAAAGGGCGTCCACAGCCGGCAAATCAAGTCGACGCTCAATACCGGCTTACCTGACACTCTCTCCGAGAACGTCGAGACCCGGCTCTCAATCGGGAGATGGGTTTCCCGAAGACTTTTACGGCGACAGCGATGATGACGATGACGAGGACCAGGAGGAAGACGCTCAGCAGATATCTCTCAAAGTCAGTGCTCTCTCGAAGAATATATTTTTGTCAGAAAGAGGTTTTTGGAGTTATAAATTGATTTATTGGTGTATTTCTAGGATAATAAAAGGACGCGAAGAGTCCAGAGGGCGAGGACTTCGGACCCGAAGTGTAAATCAAAGTCACGACGAAAACAGCGATCAGTGAAGACGTCACCCAAACAACAGACGGTCGACAGCGGCGCCGACAGTCAGGCAGTGGCCGATGAGTCGGGTTTCCAGAGACTGGACTCCTATGAGAGTCACAGCGAGTCGTCGAGAATCGAGACAATGATCCGGAGGGAGGACTTGGGCTCGAAGTCGTCCACAGATTCGTCGACTAATCAATTAAAGAGCGAATCGGAGCTGACGTCCACCTCAACGACCACTACCAACGACTCGAGCTATCGGTCCATTAGATCCCTGGGCTCCTCATCGACGGCTACTGTCGTCTCAGAGTTGATGAACGACTTGTCGCTCGTCGCTAACGAAGACAAACAGCCATTGATTGATGAGATTAGCGACGACTTCAACACTGATGTGACGAAACGGCCGCTAATTATAGACCCAAAGAAGGCGACGTTGAAGGCTACCGGCGCTGACAGTAGCTTCACATCACCCGATAGTGACAACTATAGCTTCAATGCTGCCGATCATAAGGTATTCCCCCTTTGAATGGCATTTGCTTTTTGATCGCAAATTAGTTTGTAGTGAAAAAGTCATTCATTTATTACCCGTCGAGTAATTGATGACAAAAACACTTTTACTTAATGTTCCAAACGCTCCGATATTTTCGATGCCTTTTAATGTGTTTTTTACTATATATATATATATATATATATATATATAGTATATATATATAAACACTATTTTTAAAGTATTTATGCGCTAACTATACGCTCAAAAGTTTTCATTTGATTTTTATCCGATAACTCAATAAATATTGTAATTTTGATGCGATTTTTGTGAGAGCCATAAAAAATTATGTTTAGTTTAGATATAGATTTTACTAAATTCTCTCTCTCTCTCTCTCTCTCTCTCTCTCTCGGCTGTCGATTATATTTTAAATGAATTCCACATTATTTATAGTTTATTTAAAAGCTCTAAACCTCTCATACAATGCTGTGAACCGTGTCTTTAATTAAATTTCTTTTTGCATTTTTATAAATAAAACACTATTTTAAGTGAACATAAAAACAGTTTTAAGTGAAAAGTTTGGCTTAAAAACTGCTATTTAATGGCAAAACAAGGATTAATTGTTTTTTATATTAGCCATAATGCAGATAAATTCTAAATAGAATTTTACTTGATTAAATAAGTTACCATATTTATTTTCTTAAAGGTATTTCGAAATGTATTTATATGTTTCATACGAATATTTTATTTATACAGTATAAACGTATCTTTTTTGTAAATTTGATTACCGGTGCTCTAAATTGACTTATACTAGAAAATAGATATAGACGTCGAGCCATGAATTTGTCCACAAAAATGTTTATATTTTTAATATTTAATATATTGAGTCTGAAAATGTTATTAATTTTACTTTCCTAAATTGATAATATTTTTGTATTATTGACAGATCAAAAAGTTATTTTTTTATGAAATGTGTCTAAAAGGGTGCTAAATTTTGGGTGTTTAATCTCAAAACCACTCTAAAACTATTAATAGCAAACAATTTAATATTAAACTAATCAATAATTTTCAATGACTTTGTGTGCAATTAAATTGAATTGTTTTTAAAAACTTTATTTTTAATGGATTTCCCATTAAAGCAATGGGAGTCAATCTATTAGCTTTTGTAATGTTACAAAGTATTTTGTTTCAACATTTTGTAAGTGTTGTTAGATATAAACAGTACAGAGTTATACAGTACCATGTTGCTATGCTAAGATTACTTGAGAAAAGTAGATTTATATCACAGAATATTCTCTATATTCAAACCGATAGCTTAACTTAAAGTGTTTTTGAAACTTAAAATAATCTCACTGACAAATTTACTTAAATAAATAGTCATGTCATATCATTATCTCTTTTAAAACTTTTAAAAAATATAATTTATTATATAATTATTTATAATTATATACAATAATTACCGGTAATAATGTGTAATGAATACCATTTAAATATACAATTATATTATAACAACTATTTCCTTTTTCTACAATTAATTGATATTTATTATCAAATATTTATCTAAACTTTAAACATGAAACTGAGTTAAATTTATGTGTATAAGGCATGTGCGACAACTCAAGGCTCCAGTTCCCCACCGGTGGACGCCGTGGACAGCGGCGGCAGCTCTGTGTACGTGTCGGCCAACGACGCGTCCCCTCAGATAGAAAAGGACAGACAGTCCGGACAGACCACGTCCTACGAGACGGCCTCCTCTCAGGGCAGTCGATACAGTTCTCCCCCATCTGTCGGACACCAGAC